CCATTTATTTTTCAGGTGAGCGGACAGATGGTGGGTGTGTGGTCCTGTATTTTGTTGGTGTATATTTAATATACTTCTAATCGCTATTTCAATCTTTCTATCTTTCTAATCACTTCTCTGTCTCTGTTTTTCTCTCTGTCTCTATTTTCTCTTCACTTAAAAAAAGTCGCTGATGATGAAGAAATAAATAAACTAAATAAACTAATAATATTTGGCGTCGTTTTCTACTGAAGTGACAAAAAAAATAGATGTGTAAATAAATTTCCACAGCAGCAGTACCTGACAGTACTCTTTGACTGAGCTCTTGAACTGGACAGGTTTGGGGATGGTGAGGATGGCTTTGAAACCAATCTTCTGTTGTTCAGCTTCATCTGGATGAAGGTGAAGATCTGAACACTGAAAAACAAACAGGACAGAGTCTGTACACAAAGTAAACGCCTACCATATTCTGTGAATAAATGAGTTTAGACTAGGATTATCTCATCTCAGAGTTTAGACTAGGATTATCTCATCTCAGAGTTTAGACTAGGATTATCTCATGTCAGGAAATGATAGAGTTGTTGCCAATTTGGTCAAACTTTGAAAATAAGGTTATGCTGTTCTTTTGCAATCTAGCAGGATGTCACAGTCAGAGTATGTATGGTAAAATAACTCTCAGCTACTACCACACCAATGTGTTTTAGTGTTTCCTAATGTTGATTAGGTGAGGCAGCCATCTTGGATTGTATASACTCCAAAAGTTAATCAACTTTAGACGTACACCAATGATTCTTTTTACAAATGTCATTAACTAGCACTGAAACAACCCTTTTAAGAGTTTTTAATGATCTTCTTTTAGCAGTTGATTCAGGAAGCTCTGCTGTTTTAGTGCTTTTAGATCTTTCTGCTGCCTTTGATACCGTTGATCATAACATSTTACTGTCATGATCAGAGCAGCTGGTTGGGATCAGAGGCACAGTTTGATCCTGGTTTAGAGCCTACTTAACAAATAGGAGTTTTTCTGTTCATTTAGGATATTGCTCCTCCTCTACAGCTCCTCTGACTTGTGGGGTCCCCCAAGGCTCTATTCTAGGCCCTCTGCTTTTAATCTTTATATGTTGCCTCTGGGGTCCATTTTTAATAAATATAAGATTCATTTCCATTGTTTTGCTGACAACATTCAGGTCTACCTGCCTATCAAGCCAGGTTTGATTAATTCACTCCAATCCCTCCTGAGCTGTCTGAATGACATAAAAATCTGTCTGAAATTAAATGTCCTGAATCTAAAGTAAAGTAAGACAGAAGTCCTCAGCTTTGGTAAAAACATTTCTCCTGACAGTCTTGGTCCTGTGACTTCATACAGCTGCTCTGCTGTCAGAAAGTTGGGTTTCATTTTTGATAATGTGTTTAAATTGGACAAACAGATAAACTCAGTGGTTAAATTGAGTTTTTTCCAACTAAGACTTACTGATAAGGTGAAGCCACATCTCCCAAACAAAGACCATGAGAAAGTGATTCATGCTGTCATTACATCTGGTTTGGATTATTGTAATTCTTTGTTTGTTGGTTTAGATAAATCTTCTCTGCATCAGTTACAAGTTGTCCAGAAAGCAGCAGCTCGTCTTTTAACAGGAACTAAAAAATACAAACACATATCCCTGGTTCTGGCTTCTCT